CCAAAAAAAATAAAATAAAATGGGATCCACGCGGCCACGTCCCCGTCGTGATCCTGGGTAATGCTAAGGGCCACGATCCTGGTTTCTTACTCTTATTAAGGGTAGGTTTTCCCTCACCCCCTTATAGAATTGAAGGGTTGATCAGTCTAATTTGTTAATATTAATTAATTTGACGATAAATGAAACTGTTTACCATTATTTCGGGATAAATTTAAATGTTACGTAAGAAATTCGATAAAAGGGTGGTCACCCTTAAATCCTCAAACAGTCTCACTTTTGTTTTGGATGCGAGTGTAACATATATTTTTTTCAAAATTTTTGAATAAAATTTGCAATTATCTGGGCATTTTTTTTAATTTTTGTTTCAAATACAGGGGGTGGTTTACCCCTTAAAAATGATCGAACCGAGTCGAAAATTTTTCATTTTTCATATCTCTTGATGATGCAACTATTTTATTTGGTTCGGGCCGAAAATACTAAATCCATACATACAAAACAATTAAATCGATACCCATAAATCCAAAGGGGTGTAAATATGGTTTTCCGCCGATAAAAAAAAAATACGTATGTCTTATTTTTACGTCTACTATAACATATTCAAAAATTATCAAAATCGGTGATTTACATTTGGGTAGTGTTACTTGTGAGATCGAACTCGAGTCTTCCGCTTACCAGACAACCGCTCTTTCCACTGAGCTATTTAAGACTTCATGTTTGTAATATCTATATACCTAGTGAAAAATGATTCGTTGATTGACATCAAAATTATATCAAATTGACGTCAATTTGACGATTAACATCTATTTTATGTCATTTTGACATCAATCAACGAATCATTTTTCGCTGGGTATATACTGTTCTAACTGAACTTCAAATGTAAGTAAAACGCACTTTCAAATATATAAATCAAAATCCAAGAATAAGTGGCTTTCAAATAATGCGATTGAGTTTGTTAGAACTGTATATGGATTTTAGAAACATGAATACAAACTTAAGGATAAAATATACTTCGCATAAATATATTTATTATTGATACAAGTGAACATTTTATATATGAAAAGTTATTTTAATACTAATTCCATTTCTTTGCCCTATTATATAAAACTATATAATTAATTCCACAAAATATAAATAACTGTGAATAACAATAAATTAAACAATTTATATGTAAATATGTAAATCAATTATTATACACTCACTGGCATGTACTGAATATAGGCGCAAAAAATAGTTGCTATAAACAAAACATTTATAAAGACTAAGATAAAGAATGAGACGTGAGCGTCGTAGTCGTAGACGTAAAATAAGGTAGAGAAACGCATCACTCATGCACTGCTGCGTGTAGGTGAGCCAGGAGCAGCACGGAGTGGCGGAGGGAGCTAGCGGTATACGATCG